GCTCTTGCTGCTTTTGCTGTCTTCTGCCATCTTGAACTGTTGCCCAGGCCATGCCACCCTGCCTTGGAGCCAGCTGATTATGGACTGAAACCTTCACAAACTGTGCGCTAAATAAACTTCTCCTTCCTTAATTTTGTATGTTGGGTATTTTGTCTGAGCAACAAGAGATAAGTAACTAAGACAGGGACATTTCCTTCCGTCTTGATGTTTACAAGACTGTCTGGTATTTCATACAAAATCTTTTAGTTTGAGTTCACCTGAAATTTTCTCATGATTTGATTTAGTCTTGTAGCCTTGAAAATGATATCACAGAGGCAATAAATGTTTCTGAGTTAGGACTAGTTTTCAAACAGTAAATAGGAATTCATATGGACAACATCATTAGCAAGTTTATAGTCACCAAGCCAGTGTTTGAAGCTGTGATATAAAAACTCAGGTGTGTGATTCTTTATTCTACCACTGCATGGTCAATCTTCCACTTACATAATGATATTGGTTATAATTACACCTAAGGAAACTCAGGCCCTGAATGATAGACTGACAGTCACATAACTCATTAGCTGAATATGTCTGCTTCCCAGGTCTGTCTTCAGGGCCACAACTCACAGACATTTCTACAAAGTTTGCTGTGAAATCTTGAGAACTTCATAACCTGAGGGTGTCCTAAAGAGATTCATGTGAACTCTGCATTTTCCTTCATTTCCAACCACTAGGTCCTAATTAGACATGTCACTTTACAACTTCATATGAGGAATTTCCTCAGAAATTTGCCACCAGTACATTGGACGTCCAGTTTCTTTCTTCTCTACCCCTGGAATCATCCCATTTTTCCATGGCCATGAGGGGAATGAATCTTCTTTCCTCCCTAATTGGAGTGAGATATGCCACCGCTCACAGTTGAGGATTCTTGGTGCGCCTTCGAAATAAACTTGGCTCCTGAATAATGATTTGGCTCTGCAAAAACCAGTGCCTTGGAACCCTGCTGAGGTACTGCCATCAAAACAAAAAAAAAATCAAATTTTACTCTGAATTGAACCTTAATAACAGTTGGAAACTTCAGCCTCCTGCCTATAATTTATTTACAAAGAATCTTTTTGAAGGGAACTTTCTTGGAGAATTCTGTGTAGCTTTGATGTTTGCAAAAGTAATGCTATAAGATAGAAAGATGATAGATTATATTATAGAAAAGTAGATAGCTATACATACACGTAGAAAATAAGACTGATGAAAATAAGAAATCTTATGTTTAATAACTTATCTGTGAGTTTTCCTATGGGCAAACACTGGCCTTGACCCCGGTCACTGTCTTTATAATGTGTGGTCAATATTTTAGCTGAGTTTTTCCATAAACAACATATTCAATGATTTTAATAGAGGTAGGTTTCTTTTGGATGGGGGGGGTAATGGCTCTGAGGTCTTATTTGTGACACACAGAATGAGAGATACCTAGTGAAGACTATATTATGTTTTGAATTGTGCCCACTCCCAATTCATTGTTTGAAACCTTCAACCTTCAGGGTCATTATATTTGGAGATAAGTACCATAAAGGAAAAAATTAAATGGAATCATAAAAACAGGATATGAATCCTATAGAGCTGGTGTCCTTACAAAAAGAAGACACACCAAGGACAGCTCTCCCTCTCATCCTCACTCCATATGTGTTGCTGTGTGTGTGTGTGTGTGTGTGTGTGTGTGTGTGTGTGTGAATGTCCATAGAGGAGAGACCAAAGGAGGACACGGTGAGAAATCACCAATGTTCACAAATCAGGAAGTGGTGCATCACCAGCAAACAAACCTGCTGACACCTCTATCTCTGATTTCTTGACTCCAAAGCTGTGAGAAAACAAATATCTGTGGTTTCATCTGCCGGTGTGTGGTGTTTCATGGTGGCAGCCTTAGGAGATGAATTCAGGGTCCAGCCTTAATCCAACTATCGCAGTGGGCAACTGAAGTATAATTCCTTGTACCTAAGCATTAACTCACTAGGAAGCTGGAGTATCTGTACACCAATTCCAAATAGAAATTGAGTAAGGACTCCTACTATGCCTTATTAATTTTCCCAAATACTTATTCGTATGCAATCTTTGTAAAGCAAGGAGACCATCAAAATACATTCACATGTCAGAGGTTAGAGGTGAGAATAAACAGTGAATAGGATTGTGAATGCAAGCAGGGTTCTACCAGAGCCTACACCGTCCAATAAATATATTCACCTCAGCACTGGGAGAGCACTGGCTTCTTAATTTTCCCTACAAAGAAACTTATAGCACAGTCTTTAATGTGGAATATGTACCTAGTCATATATGGTATGTCTGTACATGACTTTGTAATAGAGTGTACTCTGCATGGTGTTAGGGCAAAAATAAGTTTATTCTATCACAGATACCTTTAACCAGGTCTACCTGGTTTTTATTATGCTTAATAATCACTCCTTTTGGTAATGGAGTGATTATTACATAGAGTGATTATGCATCACTCTAGTAAAATCATCTCCCCTCTTGGCAAATCCACAAAGTGGTTCACAGATTTTCACAAGAGTATTGTCAGTAACTCAAAGAATAGGTCATGCCCTTCTTTTATGGATTCAGTCCCTTTGGTGACAGTCTTAAGTGAAGTTTAATGTCTTTGAAGATATACATAATATAGTTCCTCCAGGGCAGTTCCAGCAGCTACCCAGAAGCTACCCAGGAACATCCATTCCAGGTGCATCTAATTTCCTTCTCCTGACCTTTGACATGAGCACCATGGTTTCTTGCCACAATGTTTGATATATTTTGTTTTTGAATCACACCGAAGTTGTAACAGTAAACTACCGAAAAACTCTTAATACCACTTCGGAAAATCAAATGGATTTCTATATGGTAATGATATTTTTATTCTTTTAAAATCACATTTGACTCAATTTTTTGATTTCAGTTGTAAATAATAAGAAAAGCACCACATTATGATTAATGTAAATGAAGAATCAAATCATTCTAAATATATTCTGTGACTATTATAGATTTTCTACATACAATAGCAAAAGAAGTCATCCCAGGTCTACCAAAAGATATTCTAACTGCCACTGGGAGATACAACTTACTTCAGCAGAATAAAAAAGCAGCCAGTAATTTCATTTTGGAGACGTGGAATCTTTATGATGTCAGTTCTTCTTAAGAAAGCATTCATTTTTTATACCCTGATAAAAATACTATAGTATCTTATGGGAACTAAATAAGTATTTTTATGTTCAAATGGAAGATGAAAATGATTATAAAGATTCAGAAAAAATATTTCAGCAGAGAAGTAATAATGGAGGATCAAGTAACTACAACTCATAATCAAGCTGTAAAAATGTAAAGTATATTTTTATCACATTCATAGACCAAGATCTATGAAGTAGCCCGAAAGTTCAAAGCACAAATTTCTTATCAGAGTATAGTACACAAAAAAGATGTCATTTCAAATTCATGCAGAAAATATAAATTGCTTAAAAACTGTTAAAACTGGGTAGTCAACTAAAAAGTTTAAAAATTTCATGACTTTATTCATGTCTCATGAAAAAATTTAAATTAAATATAGAAACCATAAGTGTTCCAAAACTATTAAAATGTATTTGAAGAGAAACTTGTATTATCAATCCTAACACACTGTAAGAGGAGATAATGTAAATACGATGACACACAAACTAAATTATTATTTTTTCTACAAACTTTTGTTTCATGTAAATGGTTCTCTACTTTTAAAATAAATATTTTTATTATTCCACTTCTCTATTATCTCTTTGTGTTTCATCTTCCTTTAGGAGCTACACAATAAATTACTAGGTAAACTTCTGATATTAAAGTTGAGGCATAATATATAAGGTATACAGGAAATATTTTAACCTTGCTAACTCTAGAGAAATTGTTTATGCTACAGTACATCTTCATTCTATAAAGGGAATTGAAAGATCACAGGTATTGGAGTCATTCAGTTAGCATTCACTAGGATGGACACGTATGTTTGTTCTGCCTTTGACCTTCATGTGCCCCCTTTATGCTTCCTAGGCTTCTACTAGGGTCATTTTGACATTCCCTCAAAGGTATTTCCTAGTGTTTCTTGCATTTTGAACCTGGTATTAATAGATTCTCTTCATTTCCTTCCTGTTATTATTTTTTTTTGTCAAGAAGTCATTTATTTTTTTCTTTAAATTTTATTTTAAAGAGAAAAAACAAAATTTCAAAACAAGGCAATAGGAGAGTGTCTTAGTTATCTTCTTGTCATTGCTAAGACAAAATACCCAATACCCAAATTTAAAGGATGAAGGGTTTATTGAGCTCACAGTTAGTGGAGGTTTGAGTCCATAATCAGCTGGCTCCAGGGCAGGCTGGTGTGGCACAGAGACAACAGCTTATAGCAGCAGAAGACAGTAAAAGCAGCAAGAGCACAAGAGGAGGGGAGCAAGCCTCTTTTCCTCCTTTATATTGTAAGCAGGCTGCCCTCCCAAAACCATCTCCATGCCCTCCTCTGGCACAGGCTCAGGATGTTTACAAGGTGAGGACCCTGGCCGCCTGCTGAGTCACTTAGTTAAGCTTCTAAACTCAATTCTCAAGTTGACACCATGTATTCACCATTACAGAGAGGAACAATGGTTAATATATTGTGTATTGTTATCTTTAAATTAGTTATTCAGAGTACAGGATATAGGGGCTTAATTGTCCAAATAATATTAGCACAAACCTTTCTTTCAATGAGCTAAGAAAAATTAGTAGTATAGTTATCTTAACTATCATATATATATATATATACACACTGTTTTATTGCTCTCTTCTTCCTTTTTTTCTCCTTTCCTCCATCCCAGTTTGTCTTCCTTTTCAGCAGTTTCTGCCCATTTTACAATATTTATTGTACATTGTGGATAGTATTTACTCGCTTAGCTTCTCACACTAGAGAGAAAATGCAATGCTTATATATGTGAGTCTGGTTTATTTCACTTATGAGTAGGGTCTCAAATTGCATCCATTTACCTATCCTTTCTATTTATTTTTAAGATATTTTTACTGGATTCAGATTGATAGATTAGTTATTAGAACTGTCAGGATTCTGTCCCACAGGGAACACATACAAGGTCAGCCTGTTTCCAATTCCAAATTGAATGTTGTGGTGAGCAGAAGTAACTTGCTTGGCCCAAGTCACTCACGAATGTGATACACGTAGATCCAAAAGACTATACCTCTATCTCACCCTCTGCTTTTTGGCTACCCGTGGCTCTGTGATGCCGACTTCATCTTATGCCATACTTTCAGCAGAGACTTGAACACAACTCATTAACTCAGAACTTTCAAAACAAGTTCTCTTTTATCAAAACAAGTTTTCAACCAGGATAAAATAATACAGAGAAAGCTTTAGCTGCTCAATTATCAATAAAAAATATGATGTGTCCATGTATCTATCAATTCCTTCTTCCAGTTAACCCAGCAGTGCACTTACATAGTCATTCATTTAGTCATTTTACTGAGTATTTTGTATGACCGCAGCATCATTCTAGGTGCTGTCAGATCAAGAAACAAGTGCTCACGTGAAACTGCTGGTACAATTGCTGGTCAAAGGAAGCCCCGTGAAGCCTAGGAGGAAAGGTACACACTAACTAGAAGTATAAAATTCAACACTGAGTAATGCTGCAAAGAACTGACATCTCTGAATATTTGGTCAAGTGTATTAAAGACATTAATGATGATGAAAAGACGTGGGGATGAAACCGGACCAAGGTAAAACAAAAACATCATGTTACTGTATGTTAGCATCAGCATAAAAATAAGATAAGCACATAAGAAGAATACCATGCCAACAGTTATTTCTTTAAATTTTAATTTATTGACCACAATCATAACAGGAACAGTGGTACTTCACTTCAGGAACTTAATTCTTTCAACGTTTCTGGTCTCAGACCAAATTGGACAAGAACCAATCAAATTCAAGGGTTAGGCTTCATGTTGACTTTATGGGAAAATTCCATTTGGTTCTTGTCCAATTCACTCTGTGACTAGAATCATGGAAAGAATTCAGGTCCTGAACTGAGGTACCATGATGATAGGTATTGTGTCAGATGTGCTGTGGTAAGTGTTTTACATTCATTATCTCATTTAATGAACACAGATACTACTGTTTCAGATGGTGAATATGCACCATCAGAAAAGAAACTCACCAACGTCACAGTTATTAAAGGAAAAAGCCAAGCATTCACCCCAGGTAGCTGGCCCTGAAAGTATGTGTCAGCAACACTGAAGCTATGCATCTTAGGGCAGACATTCTCTAAGATAGGCTCTGTAGTCTCTCCACGTAACTATGGGCTCTAGCTAATTACTTCCTTTTATCTAACTGCATACGCTAAGTGTTATATCCCTTTCGGGGATTAAATGACTTCAGATTGTCACTTCTGTCCTGTGCCCCTTCTTGTTATATCTGCTCCATCAGTTGGAGGGTGCAAAGCTGCCATGTTGCACAGCCAACATGGCGAATTGCTGAGCAGGTGAATAACCAATGGCGAATTTCATCTTTCAGGAATTCAGGAAATAATTCAGGTCCTCAAACCTGAAACAGACTGAGAAATTAGTGTTATGAAAAGTCAAAATTTTTATTGATTTGAAAGCATATCTGTTTCTAGTCAAAAATGAAAATGTAGGCCTGAATCATCTCCTACTTCTAGTCTTGTGAAGAGACCATATGCAGAAGGATCAGCCAAGCCATAACCATATTCTATACCATAAAAGCGGTGATACAAGAAGCGTGTCTTTGTAAAATCCTTAAGTTTGAATTAATTTGTTACAGAACAGTAGAAAGTAGATTGCTATAAAGTATCTGAAGCTATTTTATTTTTATGGGCAGGTTTTTCTTCAGCTGCCACGTTATAGAAAAAGGGCCACAAAAATAAAATAAAATCTTTACTTGACCTTCCTCCGCAAAAAATTATTCCTAAGTTAGTAGGCTAAATTTTGCATACCTCTTGACAAGCTTGCCTCTTTTGTGAATCTCTGAATATTCACACTAGTGCTGGCAAATTTTCTTCACTGACCTCATTCTGATTAATGTTATTCAGAGTTAGTTTGGTGATGTGTAAAGCACTAGACTTTGGAGCCAATATGTGAAGAGTCTTCTTCCTACCATTCACTGAGTCTCCGTATCCTTCTTCAACAAATGAGCACAGCTACATATGTTATGTTACTTAAAATGGCATATATTATATCAGTATAATATGTATCTTTATGGTCATCAAAAGTGTTCTTGAGTGATGTTAGCTAATTTTAGGGTGTCACATTGCTTAATCTTTGAGATGGCATTTCCATGGCTTGACTATCCTTGTCTATTCATATGTCCTTCACATGACTTATCTTCACACCTCTACAGTCAGAGATTACAACTGGATCACTAATTGGCCAACTTTTCTGAGCATTTACTGTATACCAGGAGACATTTTTTTTAACTTTTAAATATGATTTTTTTAATTTTAAAAATAAAAGGAGGAAAACATTAACAGACAGACAACCATTTACAAAATAGCAAAAGAACAGTACAGACAATACAGAGTTACAAACAAAGTGGTAGGGAATTAACAATGCTTCTTGTATTACATATTGATATATTCAAAGTGGTTTCTCATGAAAACAGATGGAGACATGCAATACTGATCAATCAAGGACTCATTGATAGTTTCTTTCAGCAAAGAAATAGAGGACAGTAGATCAACTATGTTAACTACCCTGTATATACATACATACAACATTTCTCCTTCTTTCCCTTCTCTTTGCCCACATCCTAGTTGCCCTTTACCCTTAAGTGTTTTCCTATCATTTCACAATGTCTATCATACCTCCTAGTTTAAATTAACTCTTTCAGGTTTTACACTAGTACGACAATGCGGTACTTGCCCATGAAGGTCTGATTTATTTCACTTATGAGTATGGTCTCTAGTTGTGACCATTTCCCTATAAAAGCCTCGAGTTTATCTTTCTTTATAGCTGAGTGATATTCCATTACATAAAAGTACCACAATTTTCTTATCCAATCCTCATATGTGCCCTGAACTGACAGGAGTCTTTCTTTTGCAGGTGGGGAGGGGTTTCCAGTACTGGGAACTGAACTCACAACCTTGCGCTTGCCAGGCAGGTGCTGTGCCGCTGAGCTAAATCCCCAGCCCCTGACAGGAGACATTTTAATGCCATTACACACTGATGACACTGAAACACTGTAACTATTCATTGTTTCCCTTTTGAGATGAAGAGTCTAGGATTTAGAACTAGATTCTAGAGTAGAATATAGGTCAGCTTCTGGATCCGGTCTCACAGTAGAATAATTTTGGACTTCTCCACATCTGGTATTAGTTACGGTGAATATTAGACACCTTAGAAGTACATCTACATATAAGTATTGTGCCAGACAAGATTCTAAATTGACTTCAGGATTTCTTCTTTCTGCTGTATCCTGTTGTATATTGAGTAGAAGACTTAACAATGAGTATGATGAATATTCCTCTGGGTATTACGGTATTTTGAATTCCAAAGGTGAAGGTGTTTCAAAAATTTGATCAAATCTCTTCAACAGTTGCTTTGAGTTTAAACAAAAGGGTAGACCATACCTGATCTGCTAAAAGCTGGGAAACAGAATACATCAATCAGAGATGAAAAACAAAGGATGGATTTAGAGCAACAGAGATATTCTCTTTCTAGTCTTAAGAAGGTTGTCATGTTATGGAAAAAGAGACTCACCTCCAAGAGCTCAATCTCAGACCTACAATTAAAACAAAAGCTGAATTATATCAATAAGCTAGGAACCTGGAAGATCTCCAACAAGACTGATTTCATCCTGGCAAGGCCAGAACAGAGGATTTGGGTAACCGAAGTCCAGAATCCTGACCCCGGAGACTATGAGATAATGTCCTGTATTACATTTAAGCTGCAAAATACGTGGTAAGTTGTTGTGGAACAACAAAAAAACAAAATAAACATATCGGGAAAAATGTTCAGTTTTCTTGGAAAAATGTCTCATTTTAAATGCCTCTTTCTTTAAAAACTTGAGTCATTAAACTTGCGTCACAGTGCAGCCCTAAATGTTTCTTGTCATCTAACCCCAATTCTGCCGATCCTATCTAAACCAAATCAGGTAACAAGCATTTCTTCTATCGAGCTCAATGTATGTCCTTATTTGGAGCTGACCTAGTTAAAACCTGGTCAGCAATTAGCAGATAATTTGCCTGAGTCATCATTTTCGGATGTTCGTCTCAGAGAGAAGGCTTTGTCAGAATGTCAATCTTTGTATCTTGCTGTGCCTCTAATCTGGTGTCTTTTCAGTTCTTGCTGAATAAGGAGCTAAATATGCCTTTCTATTTTTGCCACTAATTAAATGTGCCTGACATAGTAGAGATGAGAACAGAACTCACCAGTATGCTTGTTCCTTTTGTGGTACATTCTCTAAACCAGAAGTGGAGCAAAACCAGCTTCATTACATCCCTACGGCTTATTTTAAATATTAGCACTATATCCCGGGAAGCAGGGAAGGGGACATTTATATAATCAGATACTCTTGTGCACGTGATCTTCGTTGCCCTAAGAAAGGATGTGGACACTGTGGAAAAAGAACTCCACAGGTGTGGGAATAAGAATTCGTAAGGCAAGCCTGGAGATACAGCTCAGTGGCTGAGTTCTTAGTATGTGTGAAGCAAGGGGTTCCATACTGAACATCAAAAAGAGAAAAAAAAAGTGCTCAATGAGAGAGAAGATGTGATATTTTAAAGGAGGCATTTGACCTTGGAAAAATTATTTAACCTGTCAAGTTCCTCATCTGTACTTGATAAAAACATTGTGCTCTTTCTCTTCATGTCAGAAATCACCTCAATAAGTGACTGTTTCTAGTAATCTTTCAATGTCTGTCTCACACTATTTTCTTTATCTCCAGGTTTTTACTTTTCTGGAGAAGAGAATTTGATCTATATTCTTCAGTCTCATTTTCTCCATTTTTTTTTTTTTTTTTAATCTTCCCTGTTTGTCCTTTGCACTGAAACGAGAATTATCTCTCTGGCATCTATTTTTGTAGGTGATTATTCTCCCTTCCTCAAAACCTCTCCTGCTGTTCCAAATTTTTCATTTTCAATAGGCTGAACTAAGACAACCCCTTCAAATTCTGCACGAGGTGAACGATGATGTAATCTCTTTGCCAAAACTGGAATCCAGGACATGACGTGTTTCAACTATAGAGGGCTACTTTCAATTTCAAAATAGTTTCCTTGCCCCATTCCTCTATTCATGATGTCTTCCTTCTGCTTTGTTTATTTAAATCCATCCATCTCTGAAGTGCCTACGCTCTTCAGGGTTTCCTTAGGCAGTGCCCTCCCTTTCACAGGTCGGATGAAGATGACGCTCCTTCCTCCATCCCCCATGACACTTTTCTTCAACAGCTGGAACAACACCAGCGAAGTTGTTGTTTTTTTTTTTTTTGTTTTGTTTTTGTTTTGTTTTGTTTTGTTTTTTGGTTTTTTGGTTTTTCTCCGGTGCCGGGAACCGAACTCACGACCTGCGCTTGTCAGGCAGGCGCTTTGCCGCTGAGCTAAATCCCCAGCCCCCCGAAGTTGGTTTTGAACAAAGATGTTTCGTGGTGAACTGTGGACGCCATGAAAACAAATTGCTCACTACATCTTTATGTTACCATGTTACACATGCTAAGCAAAAGCTCAGTAAATGTGCATGAAGGAATTCAAGTACATAAATGAAAAATATGGCTGTTATTATAATAATGACCTTTCTAATTATTGCTAATTGTTCAGTGCTGTGCTAAGATCTCCTGCTCAGTCAAACAATTGAGTCATTTCTTTCTCACAGTCGCTTTTCATGATAGAATTACTTTGCTCCCCATATTATACATAGTTAAGTTTATTGCAATATTTTTCCTAAGGCTAAAAAATAAGTAATTTCCACAGGCTTTATTACATAGTTAGAACACCTGCATTTTCACTAACAGAAAATAACTTATACTAACAAATTCTGTAACAACTGTGTGCTCTAGTATTCTCTAATTCTCCATGTAACTCATTTTAAGCAGAAATTTTCATTATAACATATCATAAATACTGAAGTAAAACATATTTGGGATCTATAAGCTGTCATTAGAAGATTTTTTTTAAGCCAGCAAGTCTGAATGTTTGATAAAAATTCATTCCTTTAAAATTTGAGATTTAAGTATAAAACTTGATGTTTCTAATTACAAAATCTTGTGGGCTTTTATTAAGCACTTATAATCATTGTAAATTCAGCACATAATATAGCAATTTTTAATGATGTCATGTTTATTACCTTCTTAAAAGTTCAGGTTAGAAGTATTGAATGGAAACCATAGACTTTCATGTTGGGTTATATACCTGGTAACACTTCTGCAAAGAATGATTTAAACATGACATAACTCAAGTACAACAAACTAATTGTGCCCCCTGGAATATATAGACCTTCTTCTAACAATCTTGTGCAGTCTTTTTTGTCCCAATTCTGTTATTAGGGATTGTACTGAGGGCCTTTGCACTGACCTACATCCCCAGCCCTCATTGATATGATGACACTGCTTGATGTTTGCCAGTAGACTCTGAACACTGCAGTGTTCCCTACAGCTCAGTGAGTCTGCCATGCTATGTCCTTTTGTTTATTCTTTTTTTTTTTTTGGTTTTGGTTTTTCTCCGGTACCGGGAACCGAACTCACGACCTTGCGCTTGCCAGGCAGGCTATGTCCTTTTATAGTCCTCATATTCAGGAGGTATCTGATAACACAGAGTATTGAAGTCGAAGTAAGGACATGTGTATTCATGAACTGAATCTATTCCTTTGTTACCCAAGCACCAGATTTTCAGCCAGATGAGCTAACTTGTTACTGGTGTCCCTCACTCTGAACAGTCTCTAAAAACTGTGGTATCTAAATTTGCTTTTCATGAGCATATCTATTTTAGATTTTTTTTCTTCTTTAGTGTTTCTTTAAAAGAAAAGGAAAGGGGAAAACGAAAATGAAGGTTTAGTTGAGAAGTTGCTGATCCAGTTGTTTTTGGGTCAGAAAGAGATTTTTGATCTGAGAAAGAAACTGTTCTATAAAGAAAAATATTTTATTTTCTTCTACAAGAGGAAAAAGTTATTGGGCTGGAGTAAACAAAGAAACCTGGGACTTTATTTTCTTACTTGTAATATGCAGCTGAGATAGTCAAAGGTGAAGCTGCTTCATTCTATGTATTGGGTGGTGCACAAGACAACTCTTGGTATGTATGGTGGTACTTGAAAAGACTCACCTTCTCTTCAATTTCCTTTCTTTTCAGGAGCCAACAGAGCTTCTCTGGCATCCTATGGCTGTGATAAGAGTGGAAGTCAGGCTGCATGAATTGTTCCTAACTGTGGCATTAAGTCTTTCACACCACAATTAGATTAATATACGTATATACATGTTAAGTGTAATATACATATTTATTAATATGCACTATACATATTTCTCTGCAGTAGTGCAGAACTTTAAGGCTTACAAATAATCCCTATACTCTGAGAGGCCTGTGCAAGGTGCTACAGAAGTAAGAGAAATGGGGTTCACTCAGCCAGGGGACTACAAGGACGTGTTCAAGGGGAATCAGAAAAACAAAATGAGAAGGAATTTGCAGGTTACAGAGCAGTAGGCACAGGCCTAGGGTGGGAAAGGACAGCAGTTGATTTAAAAGTGGGGGATTGATACTCATGAAAGGAAGTAAGGAAAAATCAGTGGACCCTGAAAATACTGAGAAGTGTATAAACATGGACTTGACAGCACTAGCAACAGAGTAAGAGTTATTTAATTACAACCGTGCATTTCACATGATATATAACAGTGTTACTAAGGAACGAGAGAGGAAAGGACACTTTATTTAGTTACCTTGGCACGAATAAATACTTGGGAGGGAAAAGCCATCACTGGCACACAGAGGGTACAATTCAATATTCTGTCGTTGAGCAACCCAACCTAGCTCCTGTTGAATCCTACACAAAGCTTCTTCCCAGGAATGTGTTAGAATATTTTAGTCTATTAACTTTGGCAGGAAAGTAGAACAATTCATAGTGCTAAAATAGCTCACTTAACACAAACACGTGATTTTGCCTGAATGTTTACGCCGAAGAAGCACAAAGTGTACATGCAGTTCCCTAACACAGCTCAGTGGAGCTTAGTGCTGCTTTCATGGCCAATACAGCAGTGTCATTTTTGCACCAGAGAAAGTAAAGAAATAACATGTGGAGGTCAGTGAGCTCAACCTAATAAATGACACTGCAGTTTCCTTAAGACCAAAAGACTCTTACTGAGTTGTGAAATAAGTTTGCTTTATGTTCAAAATTATCCGTGCTGTAAGTTAATAAGATATGATTTGGACTAATTTAAGAATTTTACTTTTACATCTAAGTTTCTTGTCAAAAATAGATGGAATTGTACATTAAATTAAGAGGGTCTAATGAAGAATGTGTTGCTCTAGTGACATTTATTCATGACATACGTTTCCTGGACAGATAGATGTACCATTTTCCAGAAGCTTAATTGTTTTTAGTTTTATTTACTTACTTTTGCCATAGTTTATTTCACAGTTATCTCTATTGAGTGGTGAACGCATATTTTGTAATATATGAATATGCTTATGGCCTAAGCAGTCCTATTTTTATTTTTCACACTTGTGTTTTGTTTTGACTGGTCATTATTTATTTATCAGTGTTAGTTTGTTAATTCATACTAGTCATATGGACTTAAGTGTTGTGTTCTACATGATTTGATGAGCTTTCTAGGTAATTGTCCCTTTCACTTTATCATCCAAGATATTATATAATTATATATGTATATATAAATTGTTTGCAATGTGCATCTCAATTTTGTTATTAAATGGGCCATTCCTATCTTTTTGTTTTACTTTTATAATCAAAGCTGCTACAGATATGCATTTTCAGTGAGCTACTTAGTAATTTGATCATTATTCATTATTATTTTTCTACTCCTTCTTGCCCATTTCCTATTATTTTTTCCTTCATATTTATATTTATGTGACTTTCTGTTACTAGTATAAAATGGATTTTTTACAGCATTAGTTTTCATTATTTTATATTTTCCAAAATGTTCGTTATGGCCATAAATTTCATTCTAACTGATACTTCAACGGCAACCCACAAGTTAAATATATAATCAGTTCATTACTGTTCAGTTCTAAATATTCAATTTTTATGACAACATATATTTTAATTCATAATTCTTTTAAAATATTACTGTGATTTCTTAACATTCCAAATTTCCTTATGTATAAACTTATTTTGAAGGAACTCAACATTATATTTGCAAAGATTATTCCCAAGTAGTAGATGTAGTTCCAAGGAGTTCAGTGTAGCAGTCTAGACCAAGATCATCAATATCATCCCTTCTTTGTTCTACAAGCTGCAAAGTTCATGTACATTATGTGTTGATTAATTTATCAATGTAATTTACTCCTACAGATTTATAATGGGCTGATTCTTAGATTTTAATAAGGTTAAACCTTGTTTCTTAAATTTGCCCACTGTGACAAAGTGTCATAGATTGGATGGCTTATAGGACACAGAAATTTACTTTTCATAGCTGTAATTGTATATCATGGTGCCTTAGTTTTACTTTTTTAATTTTTAATTTTAAAGAAAATAAAAAATAATAAAATAACAACAACATAGACAAAATCAAAACAACACAAAGACGATAAAAATGATACAGGGCTGCAAAACAAAATGATCGTAATTAACAGTGGTTGCTATATTACACATTGTTATCTTCAACGAAACTGCTCAAATTACCAGATGTAAGACTGTGAGAAAGGAGGGATAATATGTATATATGCATACACAAAATAGCTAGAATATTTGTACTACTAATTTTTATTGCTTTATTGAAAGGAACAGACAATGTTTAATCATTTGATCAATCTTACCTGCCTATATTTGTTTATCTGAGTAACCAATTTGAAGATAACTATATGTAACACAACAACCATTGCTAACTTACTATCACCTTGTCTGAAATTCTGTATTGTGCTTATTGTTCTTATGTTGTTTTTTATATGTCTGTGTGTTTGTTAATGTTTTTATTCTTTTATCTTTAAATAAAAAAGAATGCATGATTGATCAAACCATTAAAGAGAACAAAAAATAATTTAAAAAATTAGAAATGACACAGAATTTTGGTAAACAAGGTGATAGGACTTCACCAAGGGTTGTTTTATTGCATATGTTTCTCGGGGGCTGGGGATTTAGCTCAGCGGCAAAAGCGCCTGCCTGGCAAGCGCAAGGTTGTGAGTTCGGTTCCCGGTACTGGAGAAAAACCAAAAAACAACAACAAAAAAAAAAACAGCATATGTTTCTCTTCAAAGCAGTTGTTCAGATTACCAAATATAAGCATGCAAATTTTGTCATAAATTTAAGCATTAAGTCTTCCTTTTAATAAACCAATAGATATCAGCAATACAATTATTCCAACTATCCTTCTATACACACACACATAATTTTTTTTAAAAATAGGGGCCTTCTTGAAAAGCAGCTTGACATCCTCTGTGCACCCTCAAGTAATGGAAAGGGAGCAGGCTGGTTTTCTGACTCATCCTTTTTGGGACAAAAATCTCATTCAAAGGGGCCTTACCTGGGGATTTAAATAACTGCAAATGTCCCACCTTCTAACCCCATCACATGGGGTTAGTTTTTCAAGATATGTATTTTCTAGTGCTGTAAATATTCCACAAAGAGCACCTACCCTTTGAACTCCTTTAAAATTCATGTAAATCCATCTGTCTTTCTCAACTCTTCTCTGGGTCATATTTATTTAAAAACTATTTTATTCTTATTTGACCTGATAGTGAATGTCTTAAAAAAAAGAAAAAGAAAATGACTACCACCCTCAATATTTACCAGTGAATTAAAATTGGATTTTAATTTTGAAATAGCTTTAATATTCAGTTTGAAGTGTATTTCAGAGAAAGGGAACAATCTTCTTGAATCTTATAAGATTAAAAAATGAATAGAAAAAATTACTTTTTCAAAAATCCCACTATTTTAAAATGCAACTGTCCCCATTACATGAGTTAAAATCTTAACACATCTGCACTCATTAATTTGCCAGAGAAAACTCTTTTTGAATATTGCATTAATCAGATTTATTAATACAATACACAGATCACTGTGCCCAAAATACCTGACACCTAAAATTTAAAGAAGGAGAGGTTCCATTTTCTCCACAGACATGCCAGTATTTGTTATTGGCTTAATTCTTAATTATATCCATTCTTTCTCGGCTGAGGTGGAATCTCAGTGTTGTTTTAATTTGTATTTCCCAAAGGACTAATGATGTTGAACATTTTTTCATGTATTTTTTTACCATGTGTATTTCGTTATCTGAGAAATGTATGTTCATCTCAGATGCCCATTTTTGTACTGGGTCTTTGAATTTAAGGGGGCTGATTTTTTTTTTAATTCTTTATATGTTCTAGATAGAAGTCCTTTGTCGAAGGGATAGTTGGCTAAAATTTTTTCCCAGTTTGTGGGTTTTCTTTTTAGTCTGCTGGTTATTTGTTTAGATGTGCAGAATCTTTTCAGTAGAATGAAATCCCAGTTGTTGATTCTTTAAAGTATTTCCTGTGCAGTTTGGTTTTTGTTCATGAACTCTCTGCCTACCTCTATGTCTTCAAGATTTTTACCTGCTTTCTCTGCACTGTTGGTGGGAGTGTAGATTGGTTAAACCTGTGTGGAAATCAGTCTGGGGATTCCTCAGTAAACTAGGACTACAGGTCCCCTTCCACCCAGCTATTTCCTTTTTGGGTGTTTTTGCAGAAGAACTGAAAATATATCACAGCGATGTATGTGGACCTATGTTTATAGCAGCACAATTTGTAATAACTAAATTGTGGAAGTGACCCAAATGCTCATCAACAGAAGACTGGATAAAAAAGTTGTGGTATTTTTATACAATGGAATATTACTCAGCTATAAAGAAAGTTTAAACTCAAAGATTTTATAGGTAAATGGACACAACTAGAGACCATATTTATAAGTGAAATAAATCAGACCCACATGTGTAAACACTGCATTGTCTCACTAGTGTAAGAACCTAAAAGAGTGAATAAAATCTAGGAGGCACAATAGATATTATGAAAGGGTAGGAAACTGCTCAAAAGGAAAGAACAACTGGGATGAGGGAAAACAGAAAAGAAGAAAGAAGGAAAAAATACTTATATATGTATGCATATTCAGGATAGCTAAGATTGTTGTACTACTGATTTCTATTGCTTTATTGAAAGGAACAGTTAATGTTTAACTGTTTGATCAGTCTTACATGCCTA